TGCGTCGGTGTGTGGTACAACAAGGGGTGGGAGAAGTGGACAGAGAGCTGCAGGTAGGGGCGGTCAGGCTTATGTACCAAGGAAGAGATCGTCTGTGGAAGCGGGCTTTCAGGAGGAAGAAGATCTAGATGACACAGCTGAGAGCCCTATCAAGCCAACCTCGGAGGAAAAGGAAAAGCAGGAAGGAGAACCTTCTGCCAAGAAAAATCTAGACATGGATGATAACCCGTTGCAGGAAAAGGAAGGTCTACAGGCCGCAGGCGAGAGGCCAGCGACAACCACTGCTCCCGAGATGGTGCCAGTGCCACCACCACCGGCCCCTTATGTCACTCCACGTGACAGAAAGAAGAAGCCTAAAAAGGGGACCACATCTGCAGGGAGCAAGGAGGAAACAAATGGGAATGATGCGGCATCACAGAATAGCACGGCCTCCCAGGTGGAGGGCCTCGATGCCTAATGTATACCCTCTGTTGGAACTATCGGGGACTTGGCAACCCCGCGACAGTTCGAGAGTTGCGCGATCTCGCGCGAGAATGTGCGCCGACGATACTGTGTGTAGTGGAAACGCAAATCACAAAGTATCGTGTGGAGGGTTTGGCGAGGACTCTTGGTTTTGATAATGCTTATGGGTTTGGTAGCTCTGGCCGAAGTGGTGGCTTGTGTATACTTTGGAAGAGCTCGGTTGATCTTACACTGAGGAATTATTCCAAGTACCACATTGATATGGTGGTAAAGTAAGATGAAAAGGCTCTTTGGCGGCTAACTTGCTGGTATGGGGAAGCGGACAGAAACTTAAGATACAGAACATGGGAGATGATGTGTTTCTTGCGAGCGGATGAAAGGGATCTCCCGTGGATGTGTATTGGGGACTTTAATGAAGTTCTTTGGAGGAAGGAAGAGGAACACATGGGCACTAATGATCGAGCCTGGTCGCAAATACAACAATTCAGAGAGGTTGTTGATGCTTGTGGGCTGGAGGATATTGGGTACGTTGGCATGGACTGGACGTTCGAGAAAAAAGTTGCAGGGGGCAAGTACTGTCGCGTCCGGCTTGATCAGGCATTAGCTTCCAACGAGTGGTGTCGAAGGTTTCCTTTTGCTACCCTACGGCACCTCTCTGCAGCTAAATCAGACCACTCCCCTATCTTACTAATGAATGAATTGGAAGCTAATAATAGAAGAATTGATATTGCTCGTCCATTCCGGTACGAGGTAATGTGGGAACGGCATGAGGAGTTTAACCAGATTTTGCAGCAAGCTTGGATGTGTAAACCGAAGAGCTGCACTACAACAGAGCTAGGTGAGAAGCTAGAGCACGTGGCGTCTGCGTTGTCGGCGTGGAGCTCGTAGTCCTTTGGTTCTGTACGTAAAGAGCTGCGGGAGCTCAAGGCTAGGCTGGATGCCATGCGAGTTGAGCCATGCAGGCTCTATCCCACACATGCAGAACTCAAAGTACAGGAAAGAATCGCTGAGTTAAACTACAGGGAGGAGATTCTCTGGCACCAACGTTCCCGCATAGAATGGCTGATGGAAGGAGACAGCAACACTACCTTCTTTCACAGGAAAGCATCGGCGCGCAGGAAAAAGAACCGAGTGGAAAAACTTGTACATGCTGATGGAAGTCTATGTGAGGATCAGGAAGAGCTCAGCAAGATCACAACCGAGTTCTACAAGAATCTCTATTCAGCGGAAGGAACAGTGGGCATTGAGGAAGTGCTCTCTCACATCCCTTATAAGGTGTCTACACAGATGAATCAACAGCTTGATGCCCCTTTTTGCGAGCAAGAAGTAAAGGACGCATTATTTCAAATGTTCCCTACAAAGGCCCCAGGCCCGGATGGCCTGCCGGCACACTTTTTTCAGAAAAATTGGGACCTTTGTCGTGAAGAGGTGATTGGAATAGTCTTGCGGATTCTTAATGGAGAAGACTCCCTGGAAGAGATTAACAAAACTTTCATTGTTATTATTCCTAAGGTATCAAAACCGACACTTTTGTCACAGTTTCGACCTATTAGCTTGTGCAACATGATATATAAAATTGTCTCGAAAGTGCTTGCTAACCGTCTGAAGCTTATCCTTCCGGAGATCATTTCTATGGAGCAATCTGCTTTTGTTCCAGGTAGGCTCATTACGGATAATGTGATCACTGCATATGAATGCTTACACTACATGAAAGTGAAGAGGGGGAAGAAGAATACATATTGTGCTCTAAAACTCGATATGGTGAAGGCATGTGACCGGGTGGAGTAGAATTATCTAGAACAAGTCATGCTCAAGTTGGGGTTCAGTGCTAATTGGGTGGATATAATCTTGCGGTGTGTCTCCTCGGTATCTTTTTTGGTGCTCTTTAATGGGGGTAAGCTGGAAGAATTCAAGCCTTCTTGGGGGCTTCGTCAAGGGGATCCTATTTCACCTTACTTATTTCTTCTAGCGGCTGAAGGATTATCATGTTTGTTAAAGGGCCGCAGCAATAATGATGATGTTGCCGGGATCAAAGTTGCGCCTACTACTCCCTCAGTTAATCATTTGCTTTTTGCAGATGACAGTATTTTATTTTTCAGAATTAACAGTATGGGTGCCCAACAAATCAAGGAGTCCTTGGACCTTTACTGTCAGGCTTCAGGACAACGGATAAATATGGACAAGTCCTCGGTCTTCTTTGGCAAGGGCTGTTCGGAGACCACCCGTGGACAGATTAAAGATCTACTTGGAGTCCAAAATGAATCATTAGCAGAGAAGTATCTTGGGCTACCTTCGTCGGTGGGGCGCTCCAAAAATGGGGTGTTCAAATACTTGAAAGATAGAGTTTGGGCAAGAGTAAGAGGGTGGATGGAAAAAGCTTTGTCTTGTGGAGGGAAAGAAATCTTGATTAAATCTGTCGCTCAGGCTATCCCCACTTATTCTATGGCGTGTTTTAAGCTTCCCCGAGGTCTTTGCGATTACATTAATTCCTTGGTAAGGAAATTTTGGTGGGGCAGCAAGGACGACGAGCGCAAAATTGCATGGTTCTCTTGGGATACGATGACCAGGCCGAAACGGGATGGTGGACTAGGCTTCCGCGACATCGAGCTTTTCAATCTCGCACTGTTGGCACGTCAAGCTTGGCGAATGCTCATCAACCCAGAATCATTAAGTGCTCAGGTGCTTAAGGCAGTATACTATCCAGAAGGAACAATTTTGTCCGCTGCTCTGGGGCCGCGCCCTTCGGCGGTTTGGAGGTCTATATGTGAGGGTAGGGATGTTCTTAATCTGGGTATCATTTGGCGCATCGGAGATGGAAAGAATACAAAGTTTTTTGATAACTGGCTTCCCAGAGACCATAAACTCAAACCCATCTGTGCAAAGTCAGCTATGCCACCGGTGTTTGTGAGCGAATTAATTAATCAAGCAACCCGTGCATGGAACAGACACGCAATCAACACGCACCTAATCCAGCCTGTTGTGGATGTGGTCCTGAATATCCCATTGAGTACTATCTCACTTTCAGATTCCTGGGCTTGGCACTATGAGAACTCCGGGAATTTTTCGGTGCGGTCTGCTTATCGCTTGCTCGTAGATACGAAGAGGCAATGTGAAGATTGGCTTGAACAGCGATCAGGCCCGTCTGATATGGAGATTATCCGCCGGCAATGGTCTACACTTTGGAGAGTGAAGATACCTTCAAAAGTTAAAAAATTTGTGTGGCGACTAGCTCATGTGTTGCTGCCTACTGCTGATGTACGAGCTGCCCGGAATATGGCGAAGGATGTGGCATGTTCGCTGTGTAATGCAGCGGTGAATTCATGGCAGCATTCACTAACTGAGAGCAACACAGCCAAGGCAGTTTGGGGCCTGATGGATGATGATGTGGTGAATCTTGTGCAAGCAGGAAACTATGGCGACCCCAAGCTCTGGTTGTTCAATCTAATGGAAGTAGCCTCCCAGGCGGAAGTGGTCAGAGTCCTTGTAACTCTTTGGTCCATCTGGTGGGTTCGGAGAAAGGCGATCCACGAGCAACACTTTCAGAGTCCACTTTCAACCTTCTCCTTTATTCAGAAATTTCTTACTGATCTTGATATGTTACCAGTGAAGAAGAGCAACCCCAACGGGCCACGCACGGTCCGGCGTGGATGGCAAACCCCGGCTATCGGCAGCGCCAAGATTTATGTTGATGGTGGAGTCAACCGAGGAGAAAACAAAGGTGCTGTTAGTGCAGTCTGCCGGGACTCAAGCGGCACGTTCCTTGGAGCATCATCGGTGGTGTTTGAGGGGCTTACTCAGCCGGCAATCCTGGAAGCTATTGCCTGTAATGAGGCTCTCTCCCTGGCTCTAGACTTGAACCTGTTCAAGTTACAGATTGCCACGAACTGTTGGCAAGTAGTACGGAACATTGAAGAGGAGAATCCATGCAACTATGGAGTGATTGTCAAAGAGATCCTAGTGAAGAAGGAGCTATTCCAGGAAGTATCTATTAGTCATGAGTCTCGAGTTTGTAATTTAGAAGCACACAATCTTGTTAGGGCTTCGACTTCTCTTGAGAGTGGGCGCCATGTTTGGCTCACCTCCCCCACCAATAGCTTGTATTCCCATAAACTTTGCCTAAATAAAGCTATTTGGTGTTCTCAAAAAAAATCTCTAGAAGGTTTATTATTTTTATTATTTCTCAAAAAAAAATCTCTAGAAGGTGGCGAACGGTTGGGGTAGGCACGAAAATTTCCATTCCAAGATTTTCCGCCAAGGAAAACGAAGACAATGCTCACACGTACGCGGGTCACCTCACTTGACGAAACAACAAAAATGCATTAACCGAGGTAGCCGAAACTTGTGAATGTGTCGTCTCAATCTTGCAAGAAATGGGAGGGAATTACACAAGTTAAGATGAGATTGAAGGTCTCTCTATCTATAACTACAATGCGCTCTGGCTACAAGAGAAGCATCGATCGGACAGAGCAGCAGCAGGAGGAGGAGGAGGAGGCGTGGTGTGACTGAGCGAGCTGATCAGCACCAACACCGGAGCAGGCATGGCCATGGCCAGTGAATGCACGCCCGGACCCGGAGGAGCAACGCGCCGCCTCATTCTCATCATCACAGCACTCGTGGCATTGATGCTTGTGCGCCCCTCCTGCTGCACTGCCGCTTCCCAGCCGAGCTCGAGCCAGACGCGGCCGCCGGCGCTGATCCTGTTCGGGGACTCCATCGTGGACCCGGGCAACAACAACGGCCTCACCACGGCGGTGCGGTGCGACTTCGCGCCCTACGGCCAGGACTTCCCCGCCCACAACGCCACCGGCAGGTTCAGCAACGGCAAGATCGTCGGCGACATCCTCGGTACGGGTATATCGTAAGGTTCAAGCATGCATGGCATGGCATGGCATGGCAGGCATTGAAACTGATGGTTGGCATTTGATCCTGCCAGCCACCCGGATGGGCCTGAAGCAGTACGTGCCGGCGTACCTCGGCACGGAGCTCAGCGACTCGGACCTCCTCACCGGCGTCAGCTTCGCCTCCGGTGGCTGCGGCTTCGACCCCCTCACGGCCGACATCGTGGTGAGCGCTCAGCCCTGCCCAGGGAAGGAACATCGTTTATCTCCACTTCCAAGATGAAATAAACTCATTCCACCGTGGCATTTCATCAGTCGGTTCTGAGCATGGACGACCAGCTGGAGCTGTTCAAGGAGTACAAGGGTAAGATCAGCCGCATCGCCGGCGCGCAGCGAGCCGCCGACATCGTCTCGACGAGCGTCTACCTGGTGGTGACCGGCACCGACGACCTGGCCAACACCTACTTCACGACGCCGCTCCGGCGAGACTACGACCTCGAGTCCTACATCGAGTTCATCGTGCAGTGCGCCTCGGCCTTCATCCAGAAGCTGCACGGCCTGGGCGCGCGGCGGGTGAGCGTCGCCGGCGCCCCGCCCATCGGGTGCGTGCCGTCGCAGCGGACCAACGCCGGCGGCGAGGAGAGGGCGTGCGTGTCCCTGTACAACCAGGCGGCCGTGCTGTACAACGCGGCGCTGGAGAAGGAGATCCGGCGGCTCAACGGCACGGCGCTGCTCCCGGGGTCGGTGCTCAAGTACATCGACCTCTACACGCCGCTGCTGGACATGATCCAGCGCCCGGCCGCCTACGGCTTCCAGGTGTCCGACCGCGGCTGCTGCGGCACCGGGCTGTTCGAGGTGACGCTCACCTGCAACGCATACACGGCGCACGCCTGCAGGGACCCCACCAAGTTCCTCTTCTGGGACACCTACCACCTCACCGAGACGGGCTACAACCTCCTCATGGCGCAGATCATCAACCGCTACGGTCTGTGGTAGATTCGGCATCATCAAACTTTACAACCTCTATATCTGTGTATGTATGGACAAGTACGAATTTGCAGTGTCTCCAGAATCCTGATAAGCAGACACCAATTTTGAAACACTAGTATCATCCTTCCAAGATATTCAACCGCTACTATAGTATATACAAAACCAGGGAATAAACCAGACTTTGGTCCTTATGCGCAGTAGAGTATGACAGGCTAATGACTAACCTAAAACAGCCTAATCTGACCATGATTATCCAAGATGACAAAGACGTGCCACCGGGCAAAAAGAAGAAAAAAAATCATACCCAGAGACATGACATAAATGATAAGCACTATATATACATTATGAGATGAGACATGAGAAGCGATATCAACCCATCCCACTTCTTTTGGGGCTTCATAGAAGCTTATTCTGCGCCACCGCTTCGCAAAGCTCTTCCTCGTATAGTAAAACTCTGGGAGAGGCTGCCGCTTTGGGTACAGGCCTTGGCAATCCTGGCGGCATCAGACGCCGCAGACGGCGCTTTTTTGAAGGCAACGAATCTGGGAAAAGAACGGCTGTGATCGGCTTCACGTCGAGCAGCTTGAAACGTGAAGGCCGAGGGCCGTGTTTTGGAGCCTTTGGGGTTCTCGGGGTGGCCACCCTCACATCCTTGCCATCTATTCTGCTGAAAATTCAGTGGTTTTCAAACAGGATTAGAGCTTCATTCAAGCAAATAAAATGATTTTGAGGGTAATCATGATAGGTATGAGTAACCTCATGAAAGGCCAGTGCTCAGTCCGGAGAGGGGTCTTGTTTTGGAGCAGTTCCTGCCTGCTGCGATCTGGAGTGGTGTAGTTGAAATGGTACTGCCGTGCCAGTTCCACCTAGTTCACATGACCAACATGAGTACCAGACTGAGGGGATACACTGGACCAATTAACAAGTATAGAAATGACTAGGCACGCTACAGAAAGATTTGGAATCCTATCCTATGTAATTAACTAATTAAGCAATGGAAGAGCAGACTTTCTGCCATGTCAGATACCATCGTAGGTAGTTACTATGCAGGTTACATTTTTTTTTCTTTTTTCGAAAAGGGGGGATTCCCCGGCCTCTGCATCAGAACGATGCATACGGCCATTTTATTATCAAAATAAAGTAGTACCAACATGGTTCCAAAGATCTCCAAAAGTCATAGAAAAGCACATAAAGCTCACACAGAGCCAAAAAAGGCTAGGAACAGCAACTAGCCAAATCAAAATGCCACAACCGGCTGGCTAAAACTAGATAGGGATACTAAATGCCTATCCTATTACATGATCGCCATCCAAACCGGTTGAAGATATCCCGAGCTACCATCTCCCAGCGGACAGACCCAGTAACCAAATGCCCCCTGGCCTCCTAAAACTATGCAGGTTACATGGATGCCATAAACCGATGTACAAAAATAAGAGATGTAGCCTGTTAGGTATGCTCACAGGTCTCACCTACTGTTACCAAAACATCATTTGGTTCATGATTCTATTGAGAACTAAGTCTGACAAGGGATTGAAAGTGCAAAAGGAAAAACACTTAGTAACTGGACTAATAAAGTATGTACAAAACATGATACTTACTGCCTTTCGGATCCTTGATGAAACGTGGAAAACAGCCTTCAGCTGGTCATGATGCAAGTAACAGACGATCTTGATCTGTTCAATAAAACAATGGCAGTCAGATGTGATACAAATACAATGGACATTGGAGTTAACAGTAAATGGTTTCAGTTCTATACCAGCAGATCAAGAGGAAGTGACTCAAGCCTTGAATGGCCATCACATTCAGCTGCTTGAGGAGTCTTTGGAGTAGTTGGCAACAACTGTCCCTTGATGCCACTAAATGTCTCAAAACTGAGTCTTGCTGGAGACATAATTGGTGTACTGCTTTCAAACACAACCTCGGCATGTGGTGATATCTCCAGCTCATCATCCTTCTCCACATTCAACAGAATCCGTTTCTTCCCTATATCCCTGCTTGTGCTCCTACTATAACGAATCTGAGCCAGGGCACCAGGCTTCAAGTACTTGTTCTTTGTATGTTTCACTCGTTTCTTTTGCTTCAGAGTCACTGATCCAGACCCCATGATGTCTACTACTAGCAGGAAAATTTGGAACGGCAGATAATGCAAAACCTTGATTATCTTCCAGTTTCATCTCCCAGCTTCAATAAAAGGGAGCACAAATTAAGAAAGGAGTACAGCAACAACAAAGATGCTATAACAGGAGAACTAAACTCAATATGAAAATCAAAAGTCGGTTCAACTTTGCTATCTTGCCAGTTGGTACAAAAAATACTCTGATGTCAGGTAGAGCTAGGATGTAAGAAAGGAAACTGCAAAATAATAGCCTATGTTAGACAAACAACAAGCAGCGACCTCCGCATCTCCCTAGTTTGGGTCAGAATCAGGACAATGAGATAGTTATATGGGAAAAATAAGGGGAAGGTAAGCACATTGCCACCAAATAAGTTCATACCAACTATTCAAATGTATTCATTTGTTATTTGGTAGCTAAGCAAGTATAACAGTTCTCTGTTCTCCATTGAAGAAGCTGATAATTAGTTTATGCAGCCTGAGATCAGGATAACTGAACAAAATTGCAATACGTAGTGATATAAATGTAACTTCATGTTCCAGGTTCTAGAGTGCATTAAACGGTAACAAAAATGACTTGGTGGCACAGTGGGTACATGTGCACACCACAAGCAGCCGACATGGGTCTACACCGGTCAAACAATAGTTAGGAAATGAAAGCGAGATAAAAACAGTGGGTAAGCTAACAGAAGCTACGCAATGCACAGCTGGCAGGTATAGCAAGGCTTGTCCTATGCTCTGTCAGTAAGGTTTGGCAGGTATACAAAGACTTGTCCTATGCTCTATCGGTAAGATTTGGCAGGTATAGAAAGAGTAACTTATACAAACGGAAGTACAGCCACACCCAGAATCCTCATTTCAAAAACCAAACTTTTGATGCTATTTTTCCTACTGTAAAGGGTCTAAATTGTTGTGAACTTTTAGTTTCTTTCATGTGACGTCTCATGTTCTCATGTTTGGTTTAGGTGTTTACCATTTAGAGTGAGGATTTTCTGTTTCAGTCAGTAAGTGTGCACACCTCCCTGCCTGTTGGATTTGTCTTGGGATTTGGTTGACATGAACTGGCAGTTTGATCAGGCCCTCGCAATAGGGTCCAGACCCAGTAATTGCACTCTTTTCCCAGTGCATAACCTGCCTGGTGATGTCATGCTAATTTGCACACGTTCCCCACGTCTCCGCCCAAACCTTGATATCAAATTTACTATTATGAGACAGAACTGGACACTATTGATCAACTATCTTAATCAATGGATGTAACAATTTTATTATGGGTTAATTCTATACATACCACTGCCAATTTGGCTTATTCAAAAACTATGACTGCAAAAAAAAAACTTACAAAAACATTTCCATGGTCAACACTTGGGTACTTTGATAAATGCCATTATGGCAGTGGCATATATTGAATTAGCCCTTTTGCGGTGGCTTTGTCTGTAAGTTTAGTTTTTTGCAATGCTGTTTTTCAATTACAGAAAGTAGGCAGTGGCATATGTCGAATTAGCACTAGTACATGTTACAAGAAAACAAAGACTGGAAAAGATAGACGGCTTCCTTTGTTTATCTAAAGGATGCTATGAATGGCACTAGTGACTGAATATATAAAGGGGAGGTTAGCACATGCGACGCGGCCACAGAAGGCTGCTAATATTAGGTTGTCTAATTTTGTAGTAACAAATAGTGACATGGCCGCTGAAAGCCGACTAGCTGGAGAGGCCATTATTACGAGTCGTGATTAACCACATTAAAACAGATATGAATCGACGACATTCAGAGAGATATGGGCCATGATTGACTACATTAACAGCCCCCTTAGCAACAACCTGAGAGAGCAATTGCCCAAAGGAACCGTAGTAGTAGTGGGTATCAATTCATTGCACTCCCTCCGTCCGGAAATACTTGTCAACAAAATGAATAAAAGAGGATGTATCTAGATGTATTTTAATTCTGGATACATCCCTTTTTGTCCATTTTGATGACAAGTATTTTCGGACGGAAGGAGTACTAGCATAGCATATATGGGTAATCAGTCACAAGAGAGTAGTGTCTATGGGTAATTGCAGAGGAGGGGTTAAGAAGGGCTCGCGCCCTGCAATGTCCCCTTTTCAACATCTATGGGTAATCAGTCACACGAGAGTACTCCTATCGAAGAAGATCTCCATTGAACAGTAGTGCCCCTGTATAAGTGATAATACAAACTACAGTAGTAAGGATGGACGCAAGCACACATGTATGGGCAGCCAGATTCATCCCTTGGTACGGTAAACCTAGAAGCCCCGGTGCTATCCCGATTGGATTCGATTCGATTCGATTCGTGTAGGAAGACAGGACGAGGTCGCCGAGAAAATTCGACCTCCGAATCAGCAGTACAGAAGCAAGAAGACGCATGGAAAGGAAGAAGTAAAAAAGAATTGGTCTTTACCAGATACGCCCGCCCGCCGCCGCGGCTCAGGAGCCAGCTCCCATAGGTTTGCTGGATGGATTCAACTCTCTTTCTGCAATAGACGCAAGCAACCCAATCCCAACCGCCGAACCGCCGGGCACCGAGAACCGGCACAATCTCTCTCTCCTCTCCGCAATCTCTCTCCCTCTCTCTCTCTCCCGTCTCCGCAATCTCTCTCCCTCTCTCTCTCTCCTGAATCTGGTGGATGGATGTGTGGAATGGATGGGCGAGAGGAGAGGAGAGAGAAAGGAAAGGGGAAAAAGCATTTGTACGAGCGGAGAAAACGAGAGGGAGGGAAAACCGAAAATTTTCGTCGGCGTTTGGCGCCAATGCGCCTCGGAGGGGCCCCATCCCTGCCAGAGGGTTTGTTCCGTGAGCGGGCCCCACCTGCTCGTGTCTACTGAGTGGAGTAGAAATTCAGGCGGACCACCCAGCCGTACGTGCAACGACGCC